GGGCCCTTTCCTGGATGTGGCTTAACTGTGCCTCTCTGGGCAGCCGGCCTTGGAAGAGCCACCTGCCACCCTGTGTAAGCAACCCTCTTTACTGTCCTTGCCTCCTTCTCCTGATTGTGCCGCTCCCACCCTCTAGGACTGCACTTTTGATGAAATGTTGATCTGGAGTTGGGTAGAGCAGGCTTTTGGAGAATGACTTCCCTTCCCCATTTCCTATGTAGCAAACTGAGAACTAGAAAACCTAAGAAACTTTCCCAAGGTCACACAGCAAATGAGGCAATCCTGAATGTTTTGGGCAGGCTTGCTGGAATGGGGAGGGTCCAAAGGCCTGGAGGGGCTACCCCTCAAGGACACTGACACAGGGCTGCACTTCCTTTGCTCCTCAGCCAGAAGTGGGGGCAATCACTACTGCAACCTGCAGGAGTTCACAACCCCTCCTAGCACCCAGGTCTGTAAGTGCCTCTCAGAGGCCCCTGGTCTGGTCCCCAGGTGCATATCTTCCCTGGATGCCTGTGCTCCTTTCCCTCTACTCAGTGACACAGTGATGTGTCCTGATGCCACACCGGCCAGAGCTGGTTGACTGCAGAGGGTAACTCGTTCATCTTAGCCCACCAGCTAGAAGTGAGGACTCGACAGCTGCCTGTCACAATTAACAGAGTCACCAGCAATCAGAGGTGATTAATCAGACACCTCCTTTATGCCAGGCCCAGTGAAGGCTGTGGGAATCAGGTGAGGAATGTAGCTCACACTTTGGGGGGCTGGAAAACAGGACCACCCAGGAGGAAGGGACAGCTTCAGAGGATGTGTAGCGATGGCATGGTGAAGGCACAGGTGCGAGGCTCCTTATGCAAGGAAGGAGCCCCAAGGGCTCTTCAGCCTCCCTGCCAACCTGCTGAGCCCTCTTTCCAGGCTTCTGCAACAGAAAGACCCAGATGACACTTCTTGTGGCTCTCACTTGCATCTTGTATCCTTGTCACCATTGCTGGGGACACTCAAGAGGCCCCTCAGCAAGCTCCTGGCCTGGGGTAGGGGCAGGCTAGGACCTTCGTTTCCTCTCCTCCAGCCTCCCTGGTGAGGCTTAGGTGTCCAGAGCTGAGCTGTGCTTTCCTGGCAGCCCCAGGCCCTTAGGCTGTTTTTGCCTATCCCTGTGCCACGGAACTTGAGGAGCTGTCACTTCTCGGCTAGCAATGCATCTGTCCTCTCTTCCCATGTCCCTGGTCTGTTCAGTGCCTGTGGGAGTGCAGACCTCCTCCAGGGCATGTGGGACTCTCCAGACCAAGCAGAAGGCAAAGATTCCCCAAATATCCCTGGTTGCTTTTTTAAACACTGATATTTTTCAAGCAAGGGAAGATCAATACGTCACTTTTGGCTGAAGGTATTAGTTTCAGGTATCATTATCAAATTGAGGTTTAGGGCCTAGCCTTACTGTCTCATTGTGTGTTTCCTAAATATATATAATTTTCTGCACCTGCATTTGTCATTTCTCAGAAAATAATATGGCTGGCTTTGCTATCACTTTCATAAACTGGAGAAGGTGAAGTAGGACCTTCAAAGCCTTCAAGTGGCAACAATATGTATGCCTAAGAGAAACCTCTTGTTTTCCTGAATTGCAGTGCAGTTTTTGCTTTTGCTGTCCCCATCCTCGAGGGCAGAAGGATTTGGGACTGTAACCTCCTACAAACAATGAGGATTCCTAGTGCTGTAGGTGCAGCAGAGCTGCACATTCTGCTGGGATGAAAGATTTAAGCTCATTAATCTCAAAGCCAATGTAATTTGTATTTCACAAATTGTACCTTCCTGGCCCAAGTTGACAGGGTAGCATTCATTAAGCATTTAAATTGTTTTATTAGTACATTTTTTTCCAGTGCATAATGATTATATTCTTTGTAGAGAGTTGGTACATCTTAATTCTTTGAATGTTCCTTTCCTGTGCCCACTTCTCTCCGTTTCTTGCTTCCCTTCCTGTATGCAAAAGATCTGTCTCTCTATTTCCTATCCTCTTGGTTTGCTCTATGCTGCTTATACTTTGGTTTTCTCATATAAGAGTGACAATGTGATATTTAAGCTTGTGTATCTGATGCATTTCACTTAACACGATGGTCTCAAGATGCATCTGTTTTCCTACAAATGACTGCAGTTCACCCTTCTTGATGGGGGAGCAGTACCCCACTGCAGGTAATGCCAGGTGTTTTTATCCATCCATCTGCTGATGGACACGTAGGCACTTTTAAGATTTTGCTGTTACAAACATGGGTGTGCATGGGTCACTGCAATATGATGTCTAACTTTTTCAGGAAAATACCTAGAAGAGGAGTATCTGGGTTGATGGAATTTCTGGTTTTAAGGTTTTTGAGGACTCTCCATATGATTTCCATGGTGGTTGAACAAGTGCACATTCCCACCAGCAGTGCAGCAGCGTTCTATTCCCCAAAGCCTCAGCAACTTTTGTTGTTCTCTGTTTTTTTTTGGTGCTGGCCATGCTTTCTGGGTTGGATGGAAGCTCAGTGTAGGCCTTGCTAATGGCCAGCAATGTTGAACATTTTTTCCTGTATTTATTGGCTACTTGCACTCCGAGAAGTGTCTATTCTTTTGCATTCCTTATCTTTTGACTGGGTCTTCCTAAGTCTCCACTGGCATCACAGTCACTCCTACTCCTTCTGGCTGTCTTTTCCCCCAACATTCCTTGAAATGTGGACCATAATGTGAGTGGCTACCCCATATAGTAGGGGACAACTGTCCTGTCCTGTGTTATCATGTGAGTTGTCCTGGATGGCACAGGACAGTCCCCAAAGAATCCCCTGCCAGCATGCATTCAAAACCCTTGCTTCCACAGCTACTGGCAGAAAATCTGGGAGGGAAGGAAAGAGTTATCTGGTTAAGGCTAAAAACTCATCAGCTTAACATGGCTGGAAAGGTAGGGGCCAGTGTTGCCCACCCAGACGAAGGCAAGGTTGAGGGGAACCTGGTTTGTCTTGAGGAAGACCAGAGCTGCGGGAGGGTCTGGGAGGAAGACACCCCATAGCCTGCTGCTGAAGTGAGCACCAGCTAACACAGACCTCTTGTGCTTATCTGCCTGCCTGTTTGTCAGTTTATCATGTATCTGTAAGTCTATTTATCTATTTATCATCTATCTATCTATCTATCTATCTATCTATCTATCTATCTATCATCTATCTACCTATCTAACCAAGAGTCTATTATCTATTTTATCCTCTTACACATTGGTCTACCCATCACTGTATCCATTAGCTCTCCCTGCCTAGATCAGCATGTATATGGACATACATCTTTATCATCTATCATGTAACTAATCTACACCTATCATCCATCTATTCTCTCTCTTTCTCTTTCTCTGTCACAGAGAACAGGAGAGGAAAGAGAGGGAGGGAAGGGAAGCACAGAGCAAGCAGAAGAGTTTGGCTTTGCCTTACTCCCACGTTGTGAGGGCTGTCAGGGAGCTGTGATGAGTGCAGGCCACCTGGGGACGGCTGGGCTGTCTGTTCACCTTAGGATGTATGTGCTCGCTTGCTGGTGGTCAGAGGCTCTTCATCCTGGACCCAGAGAGATGGCCTTGTCCTCAGATCTCGCTCCAACTAACCCCAGAGCTTGGACGGGCTGGGTCTCTGGAAAGGACTTCAGCCTTTAGCTTAGGGTCACCTTTCCCCTCAGGCCATGTGGGATAGGGATGTGGAGGCTCTGAGTCCATGCCAGGGCCCAGATGTTCACATTAGGAAAACAGGGCAAAAGGAAGGAGCCTGTAGGGATTCTGATGTTCACTGGCTTAGAGGAGCTTTAGACACTTTGCTGGTCAGTCTGGAGGATTTTATTTATTTGTTCCTATTACTCTGCAGAAAATTGCCCAGTCAGTGCACTGTGCAAAGGGACCTTCAGCCAACAGCTTCTCTTCTTTCTTGCTTAGATCCCTTTTCCAGTGGTCACTACAGCAAGAATGGGTTAGATCCTCCTGCCTCAGCAGACACATTGCTGATCCTACCTTGCTGGACTAGAGGGTTGCAGTTTGTGAATGTTCGGCCTTACTGTGAAGGTCAGATGGAGTCGTTGGTCCTGAGGTTGATAAAACCCTTGCCCTAGGCCAGGGAGGTAGCTCAGTGATGATTGCCTGCCTGACAAGCTCAAGGTCCTGAGTTTGATCCCTGGTACCACAAAACAAACAAACAAACAAACAAACAAACCCCTTACCCTAAATCCAATAGGAAAATTCTCCTTGGCCTCAGGAGTGTGCAGAGGCTCAGGGGACCAACCTGTGGTATCGGCTAACCCTGGCTCAGTGCCTGGAGCTCATATTTAAATTATGTCTCTGCCAGTAGCCAGGCAAAAGGAACAGCATAGGGAATATTTTAAAAAACACAGATAGAGAGAGGACAACATGGCTGAATAGAAAAGGGCCTCATTCAGAGATACTCAGAGAAATTCACCTAAAGCACAGATAGTTGGAAGAAGGGGAGGGACATACACTCTGAGACTAAAATCAATCTGACATAAGGGACTAATAGGTCAAAAAGTATGGGTAGAGCATGGCTAGTAGGAACATAAAATCAGGTAGAGCTGGAGTAGTGGGGCACACCTGTAATCTCAGCACTCTGGGAGGCTGAAGCAGGAAGATCCCAAGTTTGACCTCTGACAATGCAATTTAGTGACTTGGATCCTGTCTCAAAATAAAAAATAAAAAAGGGGCTGAGGTGAGAGCTCAGTGCAAAGGTCCCAGGTTCAATGTCCAGCACTGCAAAGCAACATAAAACAGTCACGTGTGGAAAATACAGGAAGCGTTGACACTGTGTCCTTACTTTTCAGTGTCCACCCTTCTCTCCCTAGGCATGGAAGACAGCAGGTTCTGCACTGTCCAGATAGTCTGGTATTGTCCTGGGTTGGAGCTTGAGCACCCAAACATGTGTCCCCATCGTGGGCCACCGCTCTGCTTACCTGTCACTGTTTTTTCTCTGCCTGTTGATTGCCTTACATTCACGTTTCTCTCACTGCAGATGGGCAGAAGAAAGTCCAGGAGGAGTTTGACATTGACATGGATGCCCCAGAGACAGAGCGCGCGGCGGTGGCGATCCAGTCTCAGTTCAGGAAGTTCCAGAAGAAGAAAGCTGGCTCTCAGTCCTAGCAAGGGGATTCCCTTCCTGGTTCACCTGGAGACACCAAGTCCAGCTGTCACCCGTTGAGAAATTAAAAGAACAAAACCATAGAGAGAAGTCACCCTCACACCACGCACACACACACTGCAAGCCCACGATGCATGTCCAGAACCCGCACTATTTACGCCCTCCTAGGTGGGGTAGGCAGTGAAGCTGTGAGTAGCTTAATCTCTGTGTTTGTCTCCATGACCACCCCCCCCACCCCACAACGACTTTCCTTGATGTTGTAATAAAAGGGAGTTAAGACGAGTGATTCCAGTGTCGCCTTTGACTCTCTTTTTATATGAATCCAGGAAGTTCCCTGGTGGGGGGGGTTGAGGTGACTGCAAGCCAGATGTCTATTTTCCTCTCAGGAGTGAGAGGGGGAACACAGCACCTACAGTTAGGCACTTCCGTGCTGAGCATAAGCAATGTGCCGTCAGCCTCCCCTTGAATGCGGAGAGCGCTTCCCGGCCAGGGCAGTGGAAGTATATTTTCTTCTTGTGACAGGAATACAGCCCTGTATGCCAGGTGCCAAAGCCTTAGAAGTGTCACTGGGGGATTATGACTCATTCAGTGGAACAAAAATCAGGCAGGGTGTTGCACCTGTGTTTGGAACATGACCCAGATGTGTTCAGATCTCCAGGGGTAACCCTCATGCCCACCTGCAGCCCTCTGCACCTGGGTGGCTCCAGAGGCCAGGATGCTGTCCCCTGACGCTCCCAAACCTTCCAGCGCTCCTCTTCTATCTGCTACCCACTTGGGTCAGTCATTACAGCTATCATTTGGAGCAGCTGTCTGGCTTCTCTCCTACCCTGTCTCGCCCTTTGAGCCTCAGAGATAAATTATTTCCCATGCTCCTCAGAGCCCAGTCTGTGTTGAAATGGTCTGAGGCTCACAGAGTCAGGAGCCCATCCACTGTGGATGCAACTGCCTTGGGTAGTAGGTGGAGGAGTCCCAGCCCCATTGGGACTTGCAGTTGTCATTCAAGCTCTGCTGCAGGAAGCTTGACGTAGTAGTCACTGGCATCTCCAACATCCCGAAGGCTCCACAGGAAGTGTGCTGTAGCCACTCATGATTCGTCCCTTCGTTGGCTCTGTAACCAAGCCTCAGGCCAGAATGTGAAGAATGGCAGGAGGAAGAGAAAGGTGTCCTGTGTGTGCACTGCGTGTGCGGGTGTGTGGGTGTGATGTGCACAGCGCTTGGATGCAGGCAAAGCTGTTCTGTTTGGGGTCCACATGATGGTCACCAGTACACAGGTTGAGCAAGATTGGTACACTGGAGAGGTCCTCTGTCATAAACTCCCTGGGAATACAGACTCACTGTGCTGTGTCAGAAATGCTCCGGCCTAGTGCTTTTCTGCTGTGTTAGAGATGACGACATGCTTGAACTCCTTGGATCAAGTTCCACAGCAGAGCACTAATAGGATTGGGTCAGCCCCAATGAGCAGCAAGGACAGCTCAGGCTGGGGTGTCGCCTGGAAGAGAACAGCTTCCAGAGATGGTTCTGAGGTGCAATGGCTTAAGATGTCCCCAACTGCTACTAGCATAAACTGGGAGCCATTTTCACTGCATTCTGAAGACAACCTCCCCCATACTTGTCCTCCCGCCATCCCCACTATTCTCTCATCCTCAGAAAATTCCACCTAAAGGAAGTGGGGGCCTCTCCCTACTGGATGTGTTCAGAGCCTGGCAGCCAGCATGGGACATCCTGGCCTCAGACTCCCTGGGAAGCTGCCCCAGTTCTAGGCACGACACCCACCCCAACCTGAGCAGCACGTGCTAGTGGAGCAGCTGCTCTCCAATGACCCCAAGGGCCTGGGAGGTCTTCACCTTGATGCGGGCCAGAGGACGAGGTGGGCTGGGGTGGGGCTGAGGTTTGGAGAGGGCCTGGAAGATCCAACTATGCCTTTCTCCGGAGCATGAATGATTGCTTTTGAGCCACAGGGATGAACTGAAATGTTCACTTCCCAAGTGGACCTGAGGGCTTGAACTCTAGTGGTAATTGGGTAAGTTGAGCCAAAGCCACAGAGGCCAGCAGAAGTGATGGCTTGTGACCCATGGCCCCAGAGGCCCTCTCTCTCCCAAGGTTGTAGCATTCACCCCTGTGAAGAAGAAGGGAGTCCTTCAGGGCAGACACAGGGGCTTGGCAACTTGAAGAGTCCCTAGTGCATTTCCTTTTGTGCCAACCTGCTTAGTCATTTTAAATTTTACTTAAGTGGTTCTTCCCAGAGTCCTCCTATGTGCATGGATGTGGCACGATGGCTGCACAGTAGGATAACACAAGCAAGGTATATATATTCAAGGAAAAACATACTCACTTTTAAATATTTTTATTTATTACTACTGCTACTACTCCTGCTGTTGTTATAATAATAACTATTGCCATCATTGTTTGCAAGAAGCTTAGAAAGCCCATTTGGAGAGAAAATCAGGAGGATGTAGAAGCAGATTCAAGACTCTACAGATGGGTCTGGGAGAGAACGAGGGGTAGTTTTGGTCACGGTAGTCATTTGATTGTGGTAAACAGGATCCTACTGGCACTAGCTAAGAAGAGAGAGTTATTCAGGTGCCACAGACATCCAGGAACAGAACATCCAAAATACCCAAGAAGAAAATAAAAGGAACACCGTAGGCAAGCAGAGCCACACCAGCTTTCTGGATGAGCAGTGGCACACGGGGAAGAACTGATGTCTTTATGTTACTGCCTTTTCAGCATTTTATGATTTTTATAAAGTCGTAGAGTAATTTCACATTGATCTTGAACATTTCATTTTGCTCTACTTCTAGATATTTTGTACTGTTTGCTGTCCTCTTATTTACGCAAGTGTTCTTTAGTTGGGTTTGCTATACCTAAGAAAACTGCTTTTTGTATATTTAGCTCTATAATCTTACTGGAATATCTATCATCTACACATCTATCTATCTATCTATTTATCTATCTATCTATCTATCTATCTATCTATCTATCTATCTATCTATCTATCTATCTATCATCTATCTATCCATTCACCTTATCATCTTTCCCCTGCCCCCCTATTGGGGAGTGAGCCCAAGGACTTTGCACTGAGCTCTCTCACCAGCTCCTTTTTTTATTTTGAAACAAGATCTCATGAAGTTGCTACATTGTTCAGGCTGGCCTTGAACTTGGGGTCCTTCCAGAGTTATGGGATTACAGTCAGGCATTACCATATCTGGCTGTACATGATTACTTTCTAGTAGATTCTCTTGGATTTCCAGGCAGACCATCCTATCATTGGCAAATAATCACCTCATCTTTTGCAGGACTCTTCATTCCTTAATTTTTCTTGTCTTGTCTTATTATGAGCTATCCATATGTCCAAGAGGAGGCTGAGCATTCTTCCAGTCTAAATAGTAACGCTCTCCAACAAAGCATCTGCTGAAAGGTCATCAGTGCAGGTCATTTGTTTTTGGTTAACTGATTTTACCTCTGTACATAGTCATAATTTCTCAAGTCTTGTAGGCCTCCTACTGTACTTTTGAATGTACAGGTGTTTTACACTCTAAAGATTTGCCTAGATTAACTTGTATGAATTAATGCAATCACAAGAGGAGGCCTGAGAGGCAGAAGAAGTTCAGGGTTGGCTGGAGCTCATGTAGGATTTGTATGTAAGGAAGTTTCACAGCAGTGTCATCCTTAGGAGATTTCCCACAGTTTTGACTCAAATTTTGCTGGTCAGGCCCTAGGCCCTGCTCACTCTGTGAGGTTGGGTGTCTCAGTCAGCCATGACTACTGTAGCAAAGTGTCCCAGGTGGGATGGCTCACCCTGCAGATATTTATCTCCTCCTCTTGTGGAGTGGGAGCGCTGGTCAAGATGCCAGTGGACTTGGCACCTGGCAGGGTTTTCCTCTTGGCTAGCAGCTAGCCATCTTTCTGTGTCCTCACATGGTGGGCAGAGAGAGGTGATGGATAGGGAGGAAAAGAGAGGGAGGAAGAAAAGATAGAGAATGCTAATATCCCCTCTCTTATGGGGATGCTCCACCCGCACAACCTTCTCGAAGCCTCACGTACTCACACCTTCTCATTCAGGATTAGGGCCTCATCACAGGAATCTGGGGGACCCAGACATTCGCTCTGCAACATCCAGCTCCCCCTTCAGTGTTGTTTCCTGGGATTACATCAGACAGGATAATAAGTTTGATTTTATTTACCACCCAGCATCTTCCCAGCAGATCTTGGTTTAGCCTCACCTCCTGCCACAGCCCCTCTGGTTGCTGCTCTACTCCTGTTCTATTTTTCTGTGACTGTGACAGCAGATTCAAAGCACAGCCATTTCATGAACCACGATGCTCAGAGAAGATGGACAGTTCTTCTTGGTTGGCCTCTTCTCCGAGTGAAAATCCCTTGGCAGCAGGGAACTTATGCGGCATTCAGTGAAATGGAGAGACACACATACCTTCTTACTAGTTCTCCTGAAAACCTTACCAATGCTAAAACGATCACCATGGCTGTTGACTTCCCGCTGGCGCAGCCATGGCCACCAGCACCCGGGCCTCTAGCCAGTCACCGTGCTTTGGAACTGGTGCTCACTTGGCTCAAGCCAGAGCTGCTGAGGACCTTCTACTTGTTATTGGTCCAAAGCCCTAGATAAAGCTAATGATGACACAAGAGCTCGCACCAGTCTACAATAGAATCATTTTGGCAGGCTGCCCTCTTACGTCAGCACATGTCACCTGCTTCCCTCTTTCTAGCACATTCCCTTGTGGCAGCCAGAGTCATCTTAAAAATGTGAACCTGGTCCTATCATCCTTCCATGCCTTTTTGCCACAAACCCAAACACTGCACTGTGCCTACCACGCTCCTGGGATGGAGTGAGCTTCCTTCGTGTGGCCCCCCTCACCCTCTGGCTGTTTCTGTGGCTCCTCCCATATGGTCCTCTCCTTCTTCCCCAAGATGAATTTGCTTCTCCAGTCTTTTGCCCTTTGTCTTTGTGTCTGATGAATTCTCATCACCCTCTAATTCTGAGTTGACAGTTGCTCCCTGGAGTGGTTTAGGTAAAATTCACTGCTATAAAAGATAACCCCTTAGTTCCAGTTGCCTGCACCCAGCAGAAATCAATTTCTCGCCTGCAGCAGATTTTGATGCAGGTGTCCCAGTGTCGTCTCCATTCTCCATACAGAAGGGGATGCCCAAGGCCTGTGATGGACCAAGCCCACAGGTGCCTACATCAGTTCCACAGCAGGAAGGGGGCTGGGCTCAGCTATTTGGAGGAGAAGCTGGGAAATAGCATCTACCTGGGTGCCCTGGAG